AAAATTCAAAATAAAAAAGTAATAGTATTTTAAAAAAAAGAAAACCAGAGAGAAGAACAATTCAACATCAAATGAGAGAAACTACAGCATCAAGTAGGATGCTTTTATGTCTAGAGAAATAAAAGATTTCCTAGTAAAAATACAGCATCAGCAAAATGGACTGTTTAAGAAAACAATTTACAAAAAAAAAAAAAAAAAACAAAACCAAAAACCAACATGTTCCATGCCAGTGACAAGCATGTGGGCTGAGGTTTAGCTTTCTAATTTGTGAATGAAGGGAAGATGAGAGGATGGCACAGCCTTTGCTAAGCATAAAATGTGCTAAGTGTAGGGAACAGTGTCTGGGCAGCAGTTCAGTGGCTGCCCGGGAACCCTTGCATCCCCTGTCAGAGTGGCAGCTCCACTTCTGATTGCATCTTCCTGCCGAAGTACACTTGGGAGGCAGTGGATGATGGCTCAGGTTCCTGCATGGGTCCCTGCTGTTGGCATGGGAGACCCAGGCTGAGTGCTGAGCTCCGGATGTCAGCCCTCTTCGGAGTGAATCCATTTGTCTCTCTGTCTTCCTGCATTTCAAATAAAAATGAAGTCTAATGGCTAGGACTTGGGGCTTTCAATAAAGTACTAAACAACTTTTGCAATTTTAGTGAGATAGATGGTCCTGTGCTTACATGTATCCCTCATGACAGTCTATTGAGAGCGGGTTAAAGGAGAAATAAATCTTATATTTCTTTTGTTAAATAGCATAGCTTTTTTTTTTTATTAAAGATTTATTTTTATTATTTTTTATTGGAAAGGCGGATATACAGAGAGGAGATACAGAGAGGAAGATCTTCCATCCGATGATTCACTCCCCAAGTGAGCCGCAACGGGTCGATACTATGCCGATCCGAAGCCAGGAGCCTCTTCCGGGTCTCCCACGCAGGTGCAGGGTCCCAAAGCTTTGGGCCGTCCTCAACTGCTTTCCCAGGCCACAGGCAGGGAGCTGGAAGGGAAGCGGGGCTGCCGGGATTAGAACCGGCGCCCATATGGGATCCCGGGCGTGCAAGGCGAGGACTTAACCACTTGCGCCACCGCGCCGGGCCCAATAGCATAGCTTTTTATAATTATTTTGGCACCTTAAAATTTGGTAGAAGTCTTAATTTGTGTGAACTGATTTACATAACAAATGGAAGTCAGTAAATATTCTTATAAATAAAAGACCACTTGTAACTAATTTATTCATTCCAGTAGGGATAATAGAAACTCTTTAGCAGAACCAGGATCCATTTGGAAAAATGGAAAGTAACCCTGCATAGATTTGATTTCCAGATGTTGTCTTTGCCAAATAGAGAGTAGTGCTAAAAAAAAAAAAAAAAAAAAGAAGAAGAAGAAAAGAAATCATCTGTGAGAGCCTACCCATTTTAACTTTAACCTATAAATAAGCTTCAATTCATAAATCTTGGACATTAATGTATGTTGAATTTACTTTGTTTGGAACCTTGACTGGGAGCAGCATGTCGTTGAAAATTGTGACATCTGTTTGTGTTTTGTTTTTATCAGATTTTTTTGACTGCCATGTGCTACCTACTATTTTATCATTTCTAAAAATATAAATGTTTTGGGGAGGCTGATGTTGTGGTACAGTGGGTTAAACTATTGCTTGTGACATCAGCATTATATGTAAGTGCTGATTGGAATCCTGGCTGCTTTGCTTCTGACCAGCTCCCTGCTAATTGGCCTGGCAAAGCAGCAGAAGATGACCCAGGTGCTTGGGTGCATGCCACCCACGTGAGAGCTCTGGATGGAGTTCCAGGCTCCTGCTTTAGCCTGGCACAGGCTTGGTTGTTGTGGCCATTTGAGGAGTGAAGTGGACCATTGCATGAAAGTTCTGTCTCTGTGTCCCTCTCCGATGTGTCTTTCCATCTCCCTCTTACTCTGCCTTTTAAATAAATGACTAAGTCTTAAGTAAAAAAAAAAGTTTCTTGTTCACAAATGTTAACATAATTTTTAATAAGCTACTTAGCTGAAGGTATTGATTTTTCAGTAATGTTTTTTGAAAATTTTTTCCCCTCAGACCCTGCAAGTCTCAATTTGTGTCAGCCCTCGCAGTTGTTTTTGTCAACTTGAAGTCATTGCCGTCTGTCAGATTGAAAGACATGCCACCAGATGATCTTTCATGGAAGATTCCTGTGGCCAGTAACAACAACAATCTCTGCCTCCTGAAAATGAGCAGCCAGCCGCACATTTCATCCAATGGTGGGTAGGTTCCTCACTGGATGATTTTCCGTAGAGTAGTGGGTTTTCCTATTGAAAGTTGCATGCCTCTGAAACATAAGTCACTGAGGTAATTTTATTCCAAACTAGGCTTCATTTGCAAGCCTGAGACACTTAAATTGTATCTCTAAAGAGTATTTTTTAAAAAGATTTATTTATTTTTATTGCAAAGTCAGATACACATAGAAGAGGAGAGACAGAAAGATCTTCTGTCTGATGACTTACTACCAAAGTGACTGCAATGGCCAGAGCTGAGCTGATCTGAAGCCAGGAGCTTTTCTGAATCTCCCACACAGGTGCAGGGTCCCAAGGCTTTGAGCCGTCCTCAGCTGCTTTCCCAGGCCACAAGCAGGGAGCTGGATGGAAAGTGGGACCTCTGGGTTTAGAACTGGTGCCTATATAGGATCCTGGCACATTAAAGGTGAGAACTACAGCTGCTAAGCCATTGCGCCAGGCCCTCTTTAGAGTATTTTAATTCCATGTGTACATATATGAATACATTCTGGAAAGTTCACTGAAACATAAAGTTAAAAGGTAGGTTTGAGACGCTGCTGAATAGCCTAGTGGCTAAAGTCTTCATCTTGCATCTGCTGGGATCCCATATGGGCTCCAGTTCATCTTTGCTGCTCCACTTCTCATCTAGGTCCCTGCTTATGGCCTAGTAAACAGTAGGCGACAGTCTAGAGCCTTGGGATTCTGCACCCATGTGGGAAACCCAGAGGAAGTTCCTGGATCCTGAAACTACCCGTGTCACCCTTGAACACCTCTGCGTGGTGGCGGTGGTTAGCGAGAGCCCTGGGCAGACCACGACCCATGTAATCCAGAAGCACAGCTGGAGCACCTTGGTCTGGTACTACCCCACGTGTATTTCTTTGTGCACAGTCCGGGGTTGAAGACCTTCTTCTGAGAAGAGACTCCTGTCACACACCTGTATTTCAGCCATGCTGCCTGCAGGGCCGACCTGACACGGGTAGGAGTCCCCTGCCCATGGCTGTCCGAGCTAGTGGTATGCACCGACAGGTTCCAGCCTCTTGAGGAGGAGCTGAGCAGCATCGCCAAGCACTGTAGAAACTTGACATCCCTGGGGCTCGGCGAATGCCAGGGCAGTGACGGGGCCTTGGCTGAGTGAGTGAGAAGCTGGGAAGAGGCCCGCCCAGCTCTCTGTCACAGGGGACATGTTGGTCCTTGGTGAGGACAGTGTCCTGTGGGTGTCTTGGAGCCTGCAGGAAGTGTGGTTCCCTGCGGCGAGGCCCACCAGAACTGCTGTGGAGCGTGCTGAGTTGTCCTTCTGTGCACACCTGTGCTTCCTGAAACATTGCTGAAGTATTGAAAACAGATTTGATCACTTGCGCTCCCTTGACAGATTGTTGCAGAGACATCTGAAATACCATCAGAAATTTGAAAATGCAGAAATCCCTGAAGGGAGAGCACACGCTGGTTGTGTGCCAACCACAGCAGGTGATTTCTAAGGAGAGTCCTGAGCCTTCCAGGAAGGAAGCATTTAGCTTGTGCAATAAATTTGTGATATTAAACTTCACTTACACCTTTTAGTGTATGATTTTACATTATCTTAGTTGCTTCTCATCCATTGTGGCATTGATACATTTTACAAAATATGTAAATGAAAAAAGTTAACTCAACATACAGATTTAATGGTATGAGAAAAGCTCAGTGGGTTCTTTCCTCGGCTTAATACAGAAATAGAATGCCAGGAACTGGTTGCAGACAGAGAAGCTTATTGGCAAGGTGAGCACAGAAAGAAAAAGGAGGGGGGAAAATCACCTCCCAAGAGAGATTGCCAAGAGGTGGGGTACCTCTTGAGAGGAAAGAAGGAGAGACACTAAAGGTTTGAGGAAAGGTCGGGGTTATGAGCATCCCCTGACCCCTCTTTGTTGGGCAGGAACCTAGAGGTAAAAGGATCCCCATTGGTGGTCTCCTAACTGATTAGGAAAGGGCTGGGCAATTCTTGTCCCACCCACTTGAAGATGTGGTCACGATTTCAGAGGGCTTGGACAGTCTCACTTCAACATATGTAAACATTTTTAAGTACTCTGAAGATCATCTTGTGATTGAATAAATGACATCTGATTCTCCTTTGAATTTTTTTATTACACTGTCCTGGGAGCTCACTGGCATTAAACGCAGTGACACTGATCTTAAGTTCCAAAGGAGCTGCGAGAAGGACAGCACTGCTGCGATCGCTGGCTGACAGAATGCCCCATCCAGACTCAGAGATCCTTTAAGCAGGATGTGCTGGGGAAAGAATCAGTATTTGTTGGCTGCCTGCTGTGGGCCTGGGGTTCTGCCAGGTCCTTTGCAGAAGCAATCTCAGACTGAAGAAGAGTCTTTACATGACCACCAGGCCCTGTGAGGGCCGCTGCCTCCTGCTGGCTCAAATGATAGCTTGAGAAAGCAACGGAGGCTGGCATAAGTCCTTGAGCTCTTATATTTATGTGGAAGGTGTGAAGGAAGCTCCTGGCTGCTGGCTTTGGCCCAGCTGTTACGGTCATCTGGGGAGTGAACAGTGGATGGAAGATCTCTCTGTTTCTCTGCCTCTATCTGTGTAGCTCCAATTTTCAAATGGATAAATAAACTTAAAAAATAAAATTCCGATTAAGATCATGTTCCAAATTGAATCCCAAGGCTTTGGACTGTCCCCTACTGTTTACTAGGCCACAAGCAGGGACCTTCAGGTAGGAGGGTGATCAGAGACTTGGTACTGAATGTGAAAGTGTGAATTAGTGTGTGAGTTAGGTGACCAAGTGGAGTTTGAATTAATGTGTTATTTGTATAAGAAGCATTGGGGAGCAGATCAGGCAAGTCTCTAAACTGTGCTGGAAGGTAACAGAACCGTTAGTGACAGAGGGCCTAACAAACCAATGCCATTTGGGATTCTCAGGTTGTCACAGAGTGTGTACCTTTGTATTGCAGGCAGGAGCAGAAGCAGCGTGGACTAGGAATGTAAGCCTGGACAGGACAACAGAGCACAGAGCTGTGAAGGAAGTGGCTTGGTGGAGATGGAGCCCTGCAAGGTAAGCCTGCGTCCTGGGGGCAGGGTTGAAAGCGTCCCCTCTTCCACATGCTGGCCCAGAGAGCCACTGAGGGCCCTGGCCTTTCACATGGCATGAGAACTCATTGCTCTGAGGTGTTTTTCAGAGGGCCAGCCATTGAGCCTGGGGACCAAGTGCTGCCCTGAATCCTAGACAGAGGGAGTGAGCTAGGGTCATTTGATTCGTACCGATTGTCTGCTTACCCTGACTTACCAGGATGAAAATGGAAAATATTTGTAAGGCAGCCAAAACCAAGAGAATATATATTTAATTCTTCATCTGGTTAATTTTTTTAAAAAAATTATCTTCACTTACTTTGGAAATCTGTGTTTTTCTAAGGTAAGATTCTAGAATTAATTAGTAAATGTGTTTGATAGTAGATTCAAACCAGAATCTTTAAAAATGTGTTTAGTTCTGTAAGCAAACTTGTTCACATTAAGAATGTGCTCCTGTAGTTAGTGGACCCTTGGCGTGGTGATAAAGTTGCCTCTGGGGCCGCCCATGGCACAGGTCAGGATGCCTGGCTTCCAGACCCCACTCTGCAGCTGATCCGAGTCCTGCTGAGGCACATTCCAGGAGGCAGGAGAGGATGGCTTAAGTCCTTGGGTCACCACCAGCTTCACATGGCTTCAACCCTGCCCAGCCCAGCCCTGCCCTGACTGCTGCTGCAGGCACTTGGGGAGTGAATCAGCAGGTGGGAGTAGTCAATATGTCTCTGTCTCTGTTCCTTTAAAATAAAAGAGAGATAGAAAAATCTTGTAGGAAGTCAATGATGAGAACGTGAGGATAGGTCCCTGTGTAAGTTATGTCAAAGGAAAATGAAGCAGAATTCTGAGTCCTGCCTCTGCTTCCTGGTGAGCTTTGTGCTGTGAGCCGTGCTGGGGGAAGGCTGCTGGGTGAATGTGTGGGCACTGCTGTTGCTGGGCCAGCGAATGTGACTGATGGTGTCTAAAGGATGTCAGGGCCATTCCCACAGTGTGCCTGGCTCCCAGGCTGGCCACTTCCCTGCTTCTCCCATTAGCTTAATATCCTATGGGCAACTTGTTTTCAAAGTCTCGACTGGCTTTATTCACATTAGTTACTGAACTCGATACTCTCTGAAACCACAGCTTTTGAAGTATGTATTATAGTAACTTCTACTCAGCAAAATTAAACAACTCTGCTACTTCTCTTTTGTTCGAGCTTTTAGAATATTTGGATGGAAGCTAAACAGTTTGACATCTAACAGTAAAAACTGTTTTTAAAAAAAGCTATGTTAATATGAGGCACCAGGGGGCGCAGCGTTCCAGGTCTTGGGTTTGGAGCAGATGCCAGATGGTGAGGCAGTAGGCGGCGTGTTTGCTCTGTCCTGGGGAGGCTCGCGACCCACATCCCACATCCCACATCCCACATCCCCAACGACCACATGCAGCTGTGTTTGCTGCCTGGATAATTGCTTCAGAAGAATCATTCTTACCAAGCGGAAGTTTCCCCTTACCGATGTTTCAGAGCTCCTCCGCAGACTGCCTGTGTAGCATGTATTGTATGCTCCTTGCCATCCACAGCCTTTGTCTTCTCCAAGCAGATTTTTTTTTGCTTCCGCAGGCAGCCTAACCAGAGAGATGCTGAGGCAATTGTCTTTGGTGTCACCATAAACACACAAGAAGCAGTTCCTCAATGTCTCATCTCATGCAGGATGTTGTGAGCTGTGGGGACTGGCGCCTGGCCGGGTTCAAGAAGCTGCTAATTGTGTGACAGACTCTTAGTTCCAAGAGTCCTCATCCTGATGATTCTTGTCCTGGCCACCTCAATGTACATCCTGTTCACCTTAATCGAGTCCTGAAGTCCCCAGTGTTTATCATCTCCTTGCTCTTTTGTGTGCTTTTGTTACATAGGAATAGGTGGATTCTTACAAATTTTGTTTCAGTTTTCATTATTTTCAGAACCCTTCTTCATGTGGTCTTTTGAACTTTTTCAAAACTTCGTATTGCTGTCACCGATTTTGCTGTGTTTAGCTGAGTTTCATTTATGGTTACTGTTATATACTGTTATATTTCATCCTTTGTTTAAAAGATTTATTTATTTGAAAAGCAGAGTGAGATCTTTCCTCTGCTCATTTACTGGTAGAATGCATAAAAGACCCCAGGCTGGGCCAGGCCAAAATCAGGAGCCAGGAATCCCATCTGGGGCTCTCTTGCGGCTGTCAGGACCCAAGCATGTGGACTGTCTTGAGCTGCCTTGCCAGGCACACTGACAGAAGACTGGATTGAAAGCTGAGGAGTCACTTCATTATAGGGTGTGGTCCCTTTGAGCAGTGACTTTGCCCAGGGTGGGGTGGGGAGAGTACAGCATCCACTCCAGTGTTCCCTTTAGTAGCAGTAATGGTTTGTCCAGCTCACTGTCAATGGGCATTTGAGCTGTTCCAGGTTTTGCAAAGACAAATGGTGATGTCCGGAGTGTTCCCATGCCTGTGTCCTGCTACACAGGTGCAGCCATCTCAGTTCATCCCTTTCTCTCTGATGTTCTCCCAGCCACACATGAGAATGGACACACTGGGGATGGGCCTTGTGGTACAGGAGTGGAGCCACCACCTGCAATGGTGGCATCCCATGCTGGAGTGCCAGTTCAAGTCCTGGCTTCTTCACCTCTGATCTAGCTTCTTGCTCATACAAACTGGGAAGCATCCTTCCTGCTAATGCGTACAGTGGCCCAAATGGTTGGCTCCCTGCCATCCATGTGGATGGAGGTGCAGGTTCCTGGCTTCATCCTGGTCCAGCTTTGGCTATTGCAGGCATTTGGGGAAATGAACCAACATATAGAGCACTCATTCATTTATTTATTCATAATCTGTGTGTATGTGTTCCATTTCTACCTCTGTCTCTCACATAGATGGAAAATATTTGAAAACAGAGTGATTCTGGAATTTTCTATGTTCCAAAAGAATTTATGGAAAAAATTCACAGAAGTTTCCAGAAAAAGATAGTCATATCTTATTGACTGGCTAAAATCTAGGGAGCCAGAATTTTCATGAGTCATAACTTGAACATTTTTGTTTATGGCCCTTTCCTCTTGGCACATGTTGTCAACATGATGGAGGTAGAACAATACAGAGCTGTCCAATGAGGTCTAAAACAGGAAACAGTCACATGCATCTGGCTGGGAGAGGCCCCCTGACCAGTGCCATGTGGCCCTTCAGACAGAGGCAGACCCCTTTCTCTCACAACTGCTCTCTGGGAAGCAGTGACACAGACACCTAGAGTGTGGGGTTTCGTGGCCTGCCTGCTGCTACTGGTTTCCAGGATACCCATGACTCATGGGGCCCAGAGGACGGGCAGAACCTTGTTTGTCTACGTGGGCAGCATGTGTGCCAGCCCTTTTTGCAGATCTGAGAGTGGCCTGAGACTCCTTACTACCTTAGGCCAGAAGAAGCCTGTGACATCCTCGGCTGCTGCTTGTTCTGGCATCGGACACCATGCTCCAGGCTGATTCTACAAATACCTACAGGCTTTCGCTCATGCTCAGAGGCATCAGAAATGCAATCTACATTAGCTTGAATTTGCTTTTTATTCTAGGCCTTCAGGATTGATAAATCAAAAAAAAAAAAAAAAACAGAAAAGAAAGAAACCCCAAACCATCTCAGATCCCATGAGTAACAGTAAGATTAGATAGCCCTGGGAAATTACTTCCCACCGTAGCATCCAAGTGACAGTGAATGAAAAGCAAAATGCTGTGTGCTTGGTGGCTCCTGTCACACTTCTGTTTGAACACAGTTCCTTGGTAAGCATGATAGGCATCTGGGTTTTAAAGAAAAGGCTTCTGTGCAAGAGGCCTGGGTCTTGTCTGCCCATTACAGGAACACGGTGGGGTCACTCAAATCACAGTTTTCTATGTGGATGTGTGATTGGATGCCAGGGTACACTTTCTGCAAGGGCAGCAGGGTCCCCAGTTTTTCACCCTTCTTGATAGGACCTTTGTATTTAATTGGCTTGATATAGAACATCTTGATACAGAAACCTGAAAGAAAATAAGCATTATTCATCACTTGAACTTCCATAGCCTTGAACCAGAAATTTTTTAAATGATAGAAATCAGAAAAAAAAAGAATAGTTGAATGAACTCAGAGGAGGAGTGGAAAGAAATGACAAAATCATATTTAAAAAGAAAACTACAAGATGCCAAAGGGAGAAGAGATTCAAATGAAAATTTAATAAAAACATGGGAGAATAATAGCAGGAAAATACTAAGTAGCTGGAAAATTTGCCCAGAGTGATGTCAGCTCTAAGACAATCTAATGAAACTATTAGACTTTAAAGATAAAGAAAAATGGAAATCAGTGAAACAAAAATACAGATCTTTCTGAGAATCAAAAGACCTACCATGTGGAACCAAAAGAGAATAGAATAGAATAGAATAGAATAGAATAGAATAGAATAGAATAGAATAGAATAGAATAGAATAGAATAGAATAGAATAATTATAAAATAAAATATGAAAGTGTTGGGACTAAATGAGTCATATCTGTAAACATGAATGGACTTTTTTATTTAAAAATTTTTTTACTTGCTTGAAAAGCTTTGCTGCAGTTATGGGCAGTATGGAATGAAATAGTGTTTGAAAGGGCTAAAGATGAAAGAGCCAGGCAAGGCTTGCCAGCCAGATAGAAGCAATTCTCAGTGAAGGGCCAGCAGTTTCTACTCTTCCTACATTGCACACCCAGAAAGCAAGTGTGTAAGGCAGAGACAACAGGAGATGCAAGGAGAAAGGCAGGAATCCTCTTCCCCACCCTCCGCCAGGTAGGATACAGACTACTTTCAGTACATACAGAGCCAAAGGGGAAGAACACACAGCTGTGAACTTATCCAGCGTGGTAGACACTCATAGAAAAAAATATCTGCACTATCCAAGAATAGAGCAATGTGCTGAGTAAAGTCACAAAGAGACAGGCTCACCAGAATGGCAGAAATGAAAAAGTAAAGAGAGAAGCTTGAATATTGTGTATAGCACCATGCCCTGCTGGCAGAAGCAGAAATTGGCACAAATGCTCAGAAAAACTGTGTGGCAGCATCCAAAGCCGAAGTTACACTCGTGGTCCAGCAGTTTGGCCCTGACAGCATTCTGCCAGCTGCTGAGCAGGTTAAATCCAGTGAAGCATTCTAGAAGTTGGAAATAGTAACTTTTCTTGCTGGGAATAATGACTGGAAGGTAGTGCAAGGGTCCCTGGTTGCTGGTAAGGTTCTGTTTCCTGGGCTGGGGGCTGGTTACATACAAATTGTTCACATTGTGAAAATTCTTCAAGCTACACACTTTTGTTGTAACCTATCCTTGGGTATGTTTACACCTTAAGAGGACAAAAACAGCCACTCCATTCCTGGAATGCCAGGAGACCTCGCTTTACCCAGAACCTGGAGGCCCTTGAAAATATTAACCATTCACCTCTTCCAGAAATGCCAGCAGTCATGAACTGTTTGGTAAACAAAGGTACTCATCCCTCATAGTGAATGTTTCTAAAGAAGGTTTTGTTTATGGATTCTTCTAAAAGATAAACCACATAGGCCACAAGAAGGGACACCAGCTGCATATGTTTGATGCAAAGTTGTCAGGCAGGGTGCTGGACTAGTTTTGAGAAATTCTTGGTGTTGTCAGTATCATTGGATCGTTTTCAGGGAAGCATGGTACTTTTGTGTATGGAACCCACATCAAACATGTAAATATCAACACCTCCAGGAGACTCCCTGGTTTGTACATCACCTTGTCCAGATATCCGAACACCATTGTTGATTGCATTTTTGGTTTTGTACGGTTTCTCTTGGCCCATGATCATTCCTGTGAATGGAGCATGCACAGCAGACCCATCACGACACAGGACATCCACACCATGGTGAGGTCTCTGGTGTCTAGGACAGGAACAGGAAGGCACAGACTGAGGGGAGCTGCCAGCAAGAACTTTGCTTTGTCAGAACAAGGAGTTAGCCTGATGTTCCCAAACCAGTGTTTCACAACTGAAACTACCAGGACATGTTGGGCTGGATACCCTATTCTGGTGAGCTCAGTTTTGTTTTGTGCTTTATTTTTTAACTTTAAGGTGTGTGGAGAGAACAAGCTCCTTATATATTGATTTGCTCCTCAAATGGAGTGCATCCTCCATTATCTGGACAGGGTGGAGATGCTTTCTGGCTTGCCTAGAACTAGGCTCCAGCATGGAACATTCAGTGCTTGGCTCAGTAATGCCATGGTCTTATGGGAAGAGAATCCAGGTGCTTGAATTCAAGTCCAGGTTTGCGTGTCTCCACCTGTGCTTCTCAATTCCCTTAGCCCTTTGGCACCTCAGATCAAGTTCCTTGTGGATAAAATGCATTAGCAGCGTTCAGTCGTCACCTTCAGAAACGCCAGAAAAGCCCTTTTTCCCAGTTCAGAGCTCCTACTATAAGCCAAGTTCTCAAAGTTGTTCCCAAGACAGTGGGGTGTGTGGCTGGGTCCTTGCACTGTCCCAAGGGAGAGGATGGTGAGCCCTTGGGGAAACACAGGGCAAGGACACAAGGACAGTCCTGAGGAAACCCAGATACTGACAGTTATTTGTGACCGGCCCCCTCCCCTGCAGTACCTTTGAGCAGAGTACTGTCCACAGCCATGACTGTCGCATGTCCGGATCTCGTTGGAATACTTGCCAGCACATATAGTAGCCCAGGGTCCAGCCAGTGCTGAAAAGGATAAATGATAGCCTCAGATATCACCCATCTCTGTTTGCCTTATGCGTCTCCCAGCGGGTCCCAAAAAGCCTGTTTGTACTGTAATTTCACCCTTTCTGTAGTTTACTAAGGAAAGGTCTTCTCTACAAAATGTTGCAATATTCAGGTGTAAATTTTTTTTTTTTTCCGTAGCCACAGAGTTCAATTATGTAACAGAGAAAGCTTTTGTAAGTCTATTCATCTATAAGCATTCGCCTTCATCCTTGGGCTTTGTGGGTTCGTGATGCAGACTTGTGCTTTTTAGATGTTCTTAGCCCATTACCTGTCCTGGGGACCACTGGGTTTAGGTTAGGAACAATTTCATCAGGGGTGGGCATTTGGGGTAAACTTTGGGCTACTCACACCCACAGTGGAATGCCTGAATTTAAGTCCTGGCTCTCTTTCTGGTTCTGCCTTTTCTGTTCATGTGCACTCTGGTCAGCACTTGGGTCCCTGTCGTTTTCACGGGAGATCCAAGATTGCGTTTTAGGCTCCTGGCTTTGGCCTGGCTTGGCCCTGGCTGCTGTGGCTGTTTGGGGAGTAAATCAGCAGGTGGAAGATCTGACTCTCCCCTCATCCCTGCCCACCTCCCTCTTAAATAAACAAAATCTTTTGAAAAGCAAAGCTAATCAAACTTCACAAGTCAAAGAAATAACTCTAGGAATTCCAAAGAAACTTTGTAATGCTGTTTTAGGATTAGTCCTAATAATCAAATCCAAGCAAAATGTTTGCATTAAAGGACAAAGAGGATTTGGGCTAAAACACGAATTCATATTCTCAGTCGAGGAAAAAGCAGATTTTTAGACATAATCTAACATGTAAAGCAGGTTTAACCTGGTGTGAGGGAAAGAGGTGAGGAGAAAGTGGAACTTCTGTGAGAAGTCCCAAAGCAGGAAAACACACAGGAGTGTCCTGGCTCGCTCTGCTGTGTGCAAACTGCTCCTATAACGCGGTCTCTCCAGCACAGTAAACACTGACAGCTGTTCGGCTGAAGGACACTTCCTGGTTTTCCATTTCACAGGGAGACAGAAGGGTGCTTTTTAATGTTCAGAGAGAATGGAATTGAATGATAGGTATCCTTGGGTGCAGTTTTTGAAATTGATAACACACCTTTTCCAGAAACCGTGGCAGACCTCTTCATACAGTTAACAAACTCAGCCTTTCATTTTGAAACAGACTAACAAGCAAGCACAGGAGGCTGCTGACTGCATTACTGATTTAAAGACGTTTCACTAACACGCGTGCTGTGAAGAGAAGCTGCAGGGAATGTCTGGCGCATGGACATTCTTTGACATGCTTGTAAAAGGTGGAGTTCAGAGGTCTTCTACCATGGGGCCCACCTTCAACTCAACACCTGGATCAAGAAAGGATGTTGCCCCCTCTCCTAACTAGCATGTACCCTTGGGAGTTGGTGCAGCACTGGAAACCTCGCTAGGCTCTCCACGCTTCACCCCTGCTTTGCGTGTTTGCCCTGCCCCACAGCAACCTCAGGATCAGGGCTGTCGGAGTCCTCCCGTTCACTTTTGTTTCTGCATGTAAGAGTCAGCACATTCTGGTGGTAATGACTCAGTAGTGCCTCTCCCACAGTGTGCCCTCTAGTCCATGCTGCGTGATCGAACCTACAGGTTTCTGCTATCATTGTTCTACTCAAGACTTTTAAATCTACCCCGGAATCAGTTTTTTTTTTAAATCAGCCAAATGTCTAAAGCTGTACTGTTGACTTACCAGTGGAAATCAAAACAGCCAAAAGCAGAAGTCTTGTGGAAAACATCTGGGTTTTGCTTCCCATCTGTTTCTTCCTCTAATTAGAATGGCCCCACACTCTCTTTGAAGAACATTCAACTTTGAGTGAAAATTTCTGGCTATTTAACCTTAAAATTCTGCATCTCTCATCTCTGTAATTTCATGTGAGACACAGAAAGCATGACAGAGTGGAGCAAGCTAAATCCTGATATTCTGTGGACAGCTCTCTGACTATCATGTAGAATCTGTAGAGAAGTCTTTGATCTGAACGAGACAATTTTATTGGAAACGCTGTCTAAATATTAACAGGAAATGATAAGGCCAGGCACAGGCTGATGATCTATGGGGCTGTGATTGATAGCAGAATAACTACGTGAATAACAATACATTCAATACCATCACTAGTAGTTCTTTCCCTTTTTATTTTAAAAATTTACTTTCATCTTATTTTTTTTAAAGATTTATTTATTTTTATTACAAAGTCAGATATACAGAGAGGAGGAGAGACAGAGAAGAAGATCTTCCATCCGATGATTCACTCCCCAAGTGAGCGCAACGGCTGGTACTGCGCCGATCCGAAGCCGGGCGGGTGCAGGGTCCCAAAGCTTTGGGCCATCCTCGAATGTTTTCCCAGACTACAAGCAGCGAGCTGGAAGGGAAGTGGAGCTGCCGGGATTAGAACCGGTGCCCATATGGGATCCCGGCACGTTCAAGGCGAGGACTTTAGCCGCTAGGCTACACCGCCGGGCCCACTTTCATCTTATTTTGAAGGCTGACAGAGGAAAGGACATCTTCCCCCTAATGCCCATACTCACCAGGACTGGGCCAGACCAAAGCCAGGAACCAGAAACTCCCTCTGGGTCTCCCATCTGGATGGTAGGGCCCTAAGAGCCATTACCTGCTGCCTGCCAGGAAGCTGAATCAGAAATGTTGGAGATGGGTCTCACACCAGGCACTCTGGTATGGGAGACACATGTCCCAAATGGTGTCTTGAGCGCTACACCAAACTCCCATCCTTGCTAGTCTGGTTTTCATTTCTTGGATAGCACATATTTCAGAAGAGAATAAATCACGAGCATTGTATGACACATTGTAATACACTCTTCATTATACCTGTTAGGTCACTTTGGGTTATCCATTTAATCACATTTCACCTATGCGCTACTTCTGAATAATTTTGGTAAAATCATGTTTATTTCATTTGTGTGATTTTAAACATTTGCTTGTTTGTCATAACAAAACATTAACAAAGTGTCTATTAGTAGGGGACAGATAGATTCTGATATGATCATATGATGAAGATTTGCTTAAATTAGCCCAGTTAGAGCTCCAAATATACTGCTGGACTTAAAAAGCAGCCTTGAAGGCCCAGTGTGCTAGCCTAGTGGCTAAATCCTCATGTTACATCCACTGGGATCCCATATGGGCGCCTGTTCCTATCCTTGCTGCTCCACTTCCCATTCAGCTCCCTGCTTGCGTCCTGGGAAAGCAGTCAAGGATGGCTTAGGGCCTCTGCACCCACATAGAGACCCAGAAGAAGCTCCTGGCTCCTGGCTGTGGATTGGCTCAGCTGCAACCATTGTGGGCACGTGGGAATGTACCAGTAGATGAAAGAACTTTCTCTCTGTCTCTCCTTCTTTCTGTTTTTCTGTCTTTCCAATAAAAAAATAAAATAAAAAGTAACCTTTAGAATGGTATATACAGGATTATAACAAGCATTTAAGCAAAATATATATATTCATCTTTATGGATTTTGCATTTATGATAAAGATATGAAATTAGAAAAAAGCACAGAGCACAGTTAGCATGCTCTGTGGTCTCTCTCTGAGGAGGGAGAGAAACAGAATCAGGGAGAAATATTTAGATACCTTCAACTCTAAAATATTTCAGTTCTAACCAGAAAAGAACAGAAGCAAGCATGTGAAGTACTAATTTTCTAATTATTAAAGATAGATGGATGTTATTTTACTCTTGGTGCTTTTCCGTACACTTAAATGCTCAGCATGTTTTAAATGTTCTTTTGAATGCTTTTTATGCTTGTTACTTTATGAGGTTCTAGAATTTTCTGTGCTCATTTCTGTGATTTCTCACCAGCTGCAGGACATGGGAGTTGTGGTCCCAGTTCTTCTCTTTCTGCATCAACACCTTTGCTGGATTTTTCTGGGGCAGGCAGGACTTTCCCAGCTCTTGATCTGGGGTTTATGTATATGTATGCTTTGGTATGCATTTATTTACTTATCTACTTGTCTGAAAGGCACATTTTCTATCTGTTTTCTGTCTACCTAGAGAGAGCAAAAGCAAAAATGAGAGCAGGAGAAAGAGAGGAGAGAGAGAGAGAACACGATTGCTTGTTTGCTCTGATATAGATAAATGTTTAAAGATGTTTGTATTTCAGTAGATAAAATTTCTTGTCAGTTTTCTGTTCTATTATTTCTCTCAAATAAGCTGTTCGTTTTTTCTAATAGTTTCTCTGCTGATTTTTTTCTTAAGAAGTGGCTATATTGATTTGTTCTGTTTAAATGAGTAACACATTGCTGTTAAGAAAATGACCCAAATGTGAAAAGTTGTAAAACAGATTTCCTCTAACATTTTGCATGCATGTCTTTTTTTCTTTTTAAACTGTCTCTGTTATCAGGGAAATGCTGCTGCTTTCTTTGACATGTGCTCTGGTTGAGCACTTAAAATGTGAGCTAAAGCCTAGAATAATAACAGAAGGATTCCAGTGGCTGGTATGTCTGAGACCCTTCACTTGGATGAGGTTTACATTCGACCATCATGGCTTTATTTAGATATAGAAGCTACGGATGAGAGAGTACAGACCTCTGACACTCCTTCAGGGCCTTCGTGTTTGGTTCAACCTGTAGCTGGGAAGCCTCTGGGGAAAGGGCAGGGCTGGCGTGCTCTGCAGAGGGTTGTTGGCCTGGATGACCCGGCTGAACTCCCCCAGCAAATACTCCTCACTCCCTCCCTTGTTTCCCTGGAAACAGCAGGCTCTGTCAGGCCAGTGACTTACTGACCAGAGCACTCAGAAGCCTGAGAGAAGCGCAGCCACCTCACGTTCCTGATGGGGTGAAGGTAGCACTCAGTAGGCACGTTTTGCTGAATGCTGAGTCTCTACTTGTATCTCTGATACAAGATGGCAAGGAAACATTTAAATCATCCATGGTACCTGCCCCACACCCTGCTTACTTGCCCACCTTTTCTTTTTCTCTCTCTCATGTGCACACACCACTCTGTACTGACAGGATGAAAATAATTACTGAAATGGAAGATGGGTCATCACTGCTTTGGGAGGTGAAATATGTGAGGGAGTAGATTTGATTACAAGAATAATTTGAACATACAGAGAATACTTACTGTGTTTCCTAATTTATGGAGCAGTTGACTTCATGTAGAATCCAGGAACTTAAGGGAGCATTTTTTCCCAACCCAGTTCCTTTTGTATGGTATTGATGGAATAACAGATGGGATGGATTGGGATCCTATTGCGTGTTTGGTATGATTTATTGTTAATCAAGTTACAAGCTTGGGTTAAAAAAAAAACAAGAAAACAAAACAAAACACCTCCATCTCTTTATGAAGCTGTGAGCACTTACGGTGCATCTCTGACCCTTGTCTCCTGCAGTCTGCACGAAGTCAGTTATTCTGTCACAGTCAGTGCACACTGTCCCCTAGGATCTCCTTGGGACAGTATCTTTCTGACCTGTGAAGGAAATGAAAGTTCACATATAGATTAAAACATACTTGTCATCCCTGATAGGAGTAACTTTAATCACGAGACTGCCCTTGATATACAATGTATAAAGTCCTGCCTTTTAACCAGCAAGAGCCATTCACATTCCTGAGAACTAAATAAATGGACCCAGAAATACTTAGATCAGTATGGATACATAATGGCTCAATAGATAGATGATAGATCGATGGACACTTATGTGTCGATCAATAAGAATAGAAAGGTAGCTAGATGTGATTTCAGAAGAGCTAGACTTTCTTTTTTAAAGATTTATTTATTATCTATATTTTACTGGAAAGGCAAATTTACAGATAGGAGAGACAGAGAGAAAGGTTTTCCATCCATTGGTTCATTCCCCAAATGCCTACAATGGTCTACCACGCAGGTGCAGGATCCCTGCGTGGGCCTTTGGGCCATCGTCTGCTGTTTTCCTAGGCCATAACTAGGGAACTGGAAGGGAAGTGGAGCAGCCGAGACATGAACCAGTATCCCTATGGGAAGTTGACACTTGCAGGTGGAGGATTAGACATGAGAGATCATGCTGGCCCTAGCGATAGTCTTTCTAAAATGGGGACATAGTCTTCCCTCCCAGCCCATAAGAATGAAAGCCAAAAAAAAAAAAAAAAGAAAAACCAACCCTGAAAGGGCTTTCCAACCAGCTTTGTGGCTGGGTCTGAATTCTATTTCCTTTCCCACAAAAATAAGAGTAGAAATGTTTCCAGGTGTCACCAATCAGATGGATGAATCACTGGTTCCAGGCTCCCTTTTAACTCCCTAAGTCAGTGTTTATCAACTGCAAGTGCCTGGAGGTAGGCCAGGTAATAGGAGAAGCCACAGGACAAACATGATGACTCAGATTGTTGGTGATTACTTAGACTCTGGGAATAGGAAGATTAAAAAAAGGAAGTACCACTGTGTATAGGAAATGTATGTGGTTTGGGTTTTGTCTTTAAATCTTCGATATATTTAGCCTTTCTTTACATTGAGATTTAGGTCATATAACATAAAATTCACCCTTTTAAAAAGTGTATGTGCAGGGCTGGCGATACTTTTTAAAAAAAGATTTATTTATTTTTATTGGAAAGTCAGATATATAGAGAAAGGAGAAGAGATAGAGAGGAAGATCTTCTATCTGCTGATTCACTCCCCAAGTGACCGCAATGGCTGATGCCGTACCAATCCGAAGCCAGGAGCTCTTCAGGTGCAAGGTTCTAAGGCTTTGGGCCATCCTCGACTGCCTTCCCAGGCCACAAGCAGGGAGCTGGATGGGAAGCAGGGCTGCCGGGATCCTGGTGTGTTCAAGGTGAGGATTTTAGCTGCTAGGCTATTGCACCAGGCCCAGATACTACTTTTAATGCTGGCATCCCATTTCATTTACTCCATTTCCCATCCAGCTCTCTGCTAATGTGCCTGGAAAGCCAGCAGAGAATGTCTCAAGTGCATGGATCCCTGAATTCATATGGAAGGCTGGTAAGAAGCTCCTGGTTTCAGCTTGGCCAGGCCCTACCCATTGTGGCCACCTGGGGAGCTCCCAGGCTATAGGCAGGGAGCTGAATGGGAAGTGGGGCCACTAAGACACGAACCGGCACCCGAATGGGATCCCGGCACATGTAAGGTGAGGACTTTAACCACCAGGCTACCACACCAGGCCCCAAAATGTTCAATTTGTATTGCCATTCACAATAATTACTTAAAATAAGTGTGAACATACATCCTTTAAACTTACAGACAAAATTCAATGACTTAAAAAAAAAAACAAAGTTAGAGGTAAAATCTACCTAACTTTGTAAGCATTCCATCCAGAACTTAAAATACATTCACCCTTTCATAAATTACCCTCTGTACTTTCCCTGCTCAGGGTTTACTTGAAGTTATGTAGCTGTACCTGCCGTTAGAGCTGTGGTCCGCCCCATAGTAAGTGTGTGTGTAGGATGTACACACATCTGTGCAGAAACCAGCATGGTGCTGAGAGCAGAGGACCAACTTGAAGAGGTCAGTCAAAATTTGCCCTATGCCAGTATCTACCTCCACAGCTTCCACTAGTAAAGTTGTTCCCAAGAACACTTGTGAACTAGCTACAAGACACTGATCTAGCCAGAGACACTGAGATTGGATGTGAACTTTTTCCCTCTAGGAAAGTCAGGGAAGACGGGATTCATTGCTTGAATCCGTCTATTTACAACGAGAGTTGCCTGGTTTTAAAATCTTGCCTGAGACGTTTTCATGGGAACTGTCCAGAAGGACTCTCAGTTTCCAGAATGTGGCAAGGCTCAGTCGATGAATGCCCCTGGCACCCTCAAACACTTAGACAGTCGCAGTGGCCTGCTTCCTCACCCAGTTTCACCATCTGTTAGTACTTTGACCAGCAGATTACAGACAGCCCAGGGCCACCTAGGGAAGCTCAGACGTCGATGAACCCAAATCCTGGTAAGTGGACGTGTTTGGCCCGCTGTGCTTTGAACCCTGAAATTACACCACACACAGACACAGCCAGAGTGCTGCCAGAGATTACAACACACATTCTTGGCACCACAGTTCTGCTTGATTCAGACCAGCTGAAGATCTTAAACTGAGTGATAACTCAACAAATCAACTAGTGATACTAGACAAGTCAGGGATTAAAATACCTCTCCTGCTACTGATATCCCATGAAAAAAGAAAAGAAACTGTCAACAAGAACGACTTCCAAAATGGGTTGCAGAATTGCCTCACCATCTACCAGCTCTCCCATATCTCACTCAGCGTACTGGGAGAGGCACTGTACCAGGGCAGAATGTGGAGGCCAGGAGGGGGCAAGCTAGCCAGGGAGGTCCAGGAGGCTGGGAGGACTCAACAGAAAGGGAGGAAGACGAGGAGCAAGGTCCCAGGCCTGAGTGCTGTTGTCCTGTAGCTGGCTGAGTCTGTGATAGGTTTCAGGGGACCCCTGGAAATCAAACCTCATCTCTCCAAGGGCCCGTTTCCAACTACAAAGATGGAGTTTTTGAATTTCATTTGACCCTAGGGAGACCTGGCACTGTTCCACCAGTGTTTCTGTTGGATGCTATGTGAGAGAGAGAATGGGAAAGTCCATCTCGGCTGTTTAAAAACATCTGTGCAAGAACTAAATTCATGTTTTCAAAGTTTGTTTTGGAATTTTTATGAGGAATTATATCAGATATCAAGCAATCCTTTCTGTTATTGCTAAATAGGAACCGTCAGTGAAAGAAGCTTGTTGGGGTAGGGGGCCTGCTGGACATGAAAGAGAACGTGGCCTTTGGAGTGGAGCTCGCTACCTAGATTGGACCCAAGCCATGCCACAAGGTAAACAGAAGTTTCCAGGAAAAACACCACAGCTCCAGCCCGTGAGGGTCATCTGTGATCCTAAATTCAGACACACCCTTTCTGTTGAAGATGTTGTTTTCTCTCTGAACTTATCAGAAGGTGATGGGAAGTGGATGAGGTGGGTGGATAGACGATTGAGATGGATAATAGTGGATACAGTTGTAGGGGATGGTGAGATTGACGTCTGCAAGACAGGTTGGCAACCTGCAGGCCCAGGAAAGAGTGAGTGCCACATCTTGGCGTGCAAGGGGCGGAACTGAGCAGCAAATCTCCTTCCAGCTCCACAGAGTACACTCCCATCAGCGCTGACTACCTGGCCACTCTGGCCTGTCTTCCTGTCCTTGGAGCGTTGGAGCAGGTCCTGCTTGGTCTGTAGAGCTATCCCAGCTGTTTCCAGATGTGCCCTAGGCCCTAAGTTCTCTAAACTCTCAGAACTCTCTCCCAGAGCCCTTATGCTACTTTAAAATTACAGTCCTGTGTTATATCCTTGGCATAGATTTGTTTGCTTGCACCACTCCCCGCCGAAGGATGACAACTGGGTTGCGCACTGCTTTTATTTTCTCTGATGTGGCCAAACACTATTTGAACTCAAATTCGCTAAAGTGTTTAAAAGGGTTGATTATCTTATTAATAAATTTAATAAAAATAAATTACAACTGTCATACACTCATTTTGAGGCACTTCAGTGAATTTTAATATTTCAATTTGTTGTGTGTGTCCCAAAATATCCTCAAACATTTATCATGTAATGCTGGGTTTTTTTTTTTTGGTTTATTTATTTTTATTAAAAAAATACATTTATAGGGAGGAGAGACAGAGAGGGAAAGATATTCCATCCAATGGTTCATTCCTGAAATGGCCACAATGGCTGGAGCTTAGCCAATCCAAAGCCAGGAGCCAGGAGCCAGGAGCCAGGAGCCAGGAGCCAGGAGCTTCTTCTGGGTCTCCCATGTGAGGGTAGGATCCCAAAGCTTTGGGTAATGCAATTCCCTTTCTCATTTAGTGTCCTGGCCCACAAGATGCATGGCTGGACTTGTGACTTCTCTTTTAATTATTATTATTCAAAAATATTTATTATTTATCATGGTATAGTCTCAAATGTAAAGGGGTATGCCTCCCCTTCCTCCCTACCTATTTTCCTCTCGCAACTGTTTCCTTCAAATTATCACAGTAGTATGCTCCATTGGTAACAATTACCAGACCTGGCACAATAGGCTGGCAGCTAGAGTCCTTAACTTGCACGCGCCAGGATCCCATACAGGTGCTGGTTCTGGTCCCAGCAGCCCTGCTTCCCATCCAGCTCCCTGCTTGTGGCCTGGGAAAGCAGTCGAGGATGGCCCAAAGCCTTAGAACCCTGCACCCATGTGTGAGACCCAGGGGAGGCTCCTGGTTGTTGGCTTCGGATTGGCTCAGCTCCAGCTATTGTGGCTGCTTGGGGAGTGAATCAATGAACAGAATATCTTCCTCTCTGTTTTTCCTATTATCTGTATATCTGACTTCCCAATGAAAATAAATATATATTTTTAAAAAAACAGTTGCAGGTTTAACTTCCTGCTATTCAAGTGTGTCATGACAAGGTAGATAGAGGCAAAAGTAGAAAATCTGGTGTCGTACTGTACAGGCATGTTTACATGTCTCAATGGGAGTCCCTACCTTTATTCAGGGGTGGAAACATGTGCTGCAACTAACTTTGCTTCCCAATAAGTGGGTATCCATTATATAGTTTGTCTTTGAGAATATATGCATACATTTGGTTACCTATATCTATTTATTTAGTAGTTTGCATAAAGAGTGTCTTATATTAGAGCATATGGTTTTTGTCCCTTTGGGACTCCAGTTAGGACAGTTTTGTTGCAAACGGTAGGATTTCATTCTTTTTGGCTGTGTAGTTTTCTACAGAGTAGAGGTACCTCAGTTTTAACCACTCATCTGTTGGGCATCTGGGTTGTTTCGGGTCTGCTATTGTGGATGTGCTGCCTTAAATATGGGGCTGCAGGTCACTTTCTCATAAGCATATTTCATTCCATTTGGATATATTAGCAGAAGTTGGAATAGCTGAATCATATGGCAGACCAACTCTCGCTGAGCACTGTTCGTGCTTTTATAGAGGCTGCGCTAGTCTACACTCCTACCCACAGTGGAGTAGGGTATCTTTTCCCCACATCCTTGCCAGCAGTAGTTATTTGTTGATTTCTGTATGCAGGCCATTCTCACTGTAGTTAGGTGGAACCTCAATGTGATTTTTATTTGCATTTCCTTAATAGTTAGGGAGCCTGCACCTTTTCTTTTCATGTGTCTACCAGGCATTTGAAATTATCTGCTCACATTGTTCACCCATTTCTTAACAGAGTTGTTTGTTTTGCTGTTGTTGAGTTTCTGAAGCTCTTGGTAGATCTTGGATATCAATCCCTGTCTGTTGTGTAGTGTGCCTTCTCTTGAGGACTTGAGGCTTCTGAAGCTTGGTAAACCATGCATATTGTGGCCTTCCACTAGTGGGTGCCATTGAGCAACAGACTTCAGAGTTGGCCTTCGGGTGCCTCTGGTCCCAGAGTGACATATTTAAGTCTGAAGTGAGCCACAATTAAGAGCGTCTTTGGAAGAATTTGATTTCATCAGCCGATTGAAAGGTCTTCCCCTTTAGGTTTGAGTCATGGCCACATCACAAGCCTACAGTTTTGCCACCACGGCCTGTTGCTGTTGTGACAGATTTCATCCTTGATGAAAACGCTGATGTTTGTGGAATAGAACTTTGTTTTTTGAATGGGGCAATTCATTCCTGTCTGCACGTTGAAGGCAGTGCCAGGTCTCAGGACTCCTGGACTCCTTTTCACAGGCAAAAATCTTAGAGATGACTCAGTTGTAGAAATTTAGAAAAGCCTAGGAATAGTTAGAACTCTCCCTCCTTTAACAGAAGGTAAAGTCCACAGGAAAAGAGGAATTGGTCTCAAAACAACCAACCCCTCTGGGATGGAGACAGAAGCATGAGGCCACAGTGGGACCATCAGCCACGTGCTTCCCATTGCTATGCATGATCTCCACTGTCCCCACAAGCCTTCAGTGATGTGGAAGGGATGTGAGCTGCAGCCTGCTGTAGTCTTGGTACAAACATTCTTCGTTCTGCTTAGTGTGTGCCAAGCCCTGAGCTAAGCGCTCAGAGCATGCAATGGCTCACTTTATCCCAGGCGGTGCCATCCCCTGCTATGAAGGCAGGATTTGGAGCCAGTGGATACAGAGGCAGGTCCAGCTCCAATTCTCAATAGCCACGTGGCATTGGGCAATCAGAAGACACTCACTGAACATCCCTCTCCCGAGCTCAAAGTGGGGAGAGTGGCAGAACCTTCAATTCTTCAACGAGATGAGGCAGAAGGCTCTTGGTGTCGGGGCTGCCCCTCTGGAAAGCCATCAGGAATGTCTGTTGCCACTTTCTGCCAGACTTGGACATTGATTTTCTTCCTGTTGATATTCACTGTAGCAGCTGTCTCAGTGTTCTGGTTTACATCTATAACTTGACTGAACTATTGAAAGTGTATGCAGAGGTGGGCATGTGGACTAGCAGTAAGCATGCCTGCATGCCATATGGGAGGACCCGAGTGAATACTCAGTTCCATTTCTGATTCGTGCTTCCTGCTAATGCACACCATTGGAGGCAACAGAAGATGGTTTAGGTAATTGGGTTCCTACCCACATGGGTAGGAAGTTTCTGGTTTCAGCCCAGCCTTGTTCTGATCATTGCATATACTTGAGGAGTGAACTACTAGAAAAGATAAATGAAAATAAATAAATGCTTATTATATGTTATATTTTACATTATATATAATTTTCATCTCTTCATATAAGTAGTATTTTTATGAAATAAATGCCCAAAACCAAAATTATATCTTCTGCAGGAAAAAAAACATTCTATGACATGCTTCAAAACTGGTTTGTTTTCTTTGATGCCTCTCTTTACCCTCACATTTAAAATGTTAGGGCCAAGAGAAGATTCCAGATGAAAGGAATCAACACATTTCTCTTTGGCAGTCTTATTTCTCTTCTTTGAAGCATTGGCCCTCTGCCGGTGGCTCATTTAGGGACACTTGTCTAAAGCATCTCTTCCACGTTTAGGATCAGACAGTTTCTAATCTGTGGGAGATAATTCACCATACTTCATTGTATGTGGGGTCTTGGAGGACTCTACTGGTGGATGCAAAGCTGTCTCCCAGTGCCAGCACGCTCCTTCATGCCACAACCACATGCTTACAGCTGGCACGTGTTCCTCCTCACTCAACAGCCTTCAGACTCAACCCCCATGGCAGGGCTCAGCGTTCAAAGCAATAGCTATTTGCATTTGGTGCATTTTCAGCCTGAAAGTGGAGGCTCCAGCTATAAATAGCACGCACCTTTGGACAACAGCGTTCCCATCAGGATGAGATCACTTCCAGGAAAACACTGAAATGTAGCAATGGGAATAACATCTGGCCTTTCAACAGTTGTATTTGATTTAGACTTGGACATCCTACATGAAATAGTGGCTTATTTATTAATGACTTCAGTTTCCATGCCACGCGCTCATTTTAATCTTTGCCACCTATTCATAAATTTGCATGTGGATACAGAGTCCACTTGCTTGCTGCGTATTGTGCAGTCCCACCTCATAACCACATCATAACTACAGACAGTCCCTGGCTACAGTTGTTCAACATAATCGTGCTCCAGTTTTCCAGGGGTGCAAAAGTGATGCGCATTCTGTTTGAAATGTACAGACTTCAGATTCAGAATTTTGATCTTTTCACAGGCTAGCAATATGGTACTACTCTCTTGTGGTGCTGGGCAGCGGCTGTGAGCTGGAATTTCTATCCAGGCAGGATATTACATGGGCAAACAGCTGGTGCGGTGCTCTACCTCTCATGGTGTCAGATAAATTACATGAGACATTCGGCCTTTGTTGTAAAATACACTTTGTGTCAGATGATTTGGCCCAACTGTAGTCTAGTGAAGGT